GTGTGCAGCCCCATAGCGCTGCAGCCCTGCGTGTGCAGTCCCATAGCACTGCAGCCCGACGGCCCCGACGTCTGTCAGTGCTTAGCCCACCAGCAAGGTGAGACTGCCTCAAAAGCATCAGGATCCCACTCTGCAGCCTCACAAGCTGACACAGAAATTCCCTCCTCTCTTTATATATATATATATCTTTGCACCGTTCGCAGTCAATCCCCAGGTATTTGATAACACGGATGCAACAGGCAATGTTTTGACTGTTATCATAAAATACTGTAATGTATTTCTATTTGCAAGAGGCTTCCCCAATGCCAGCCTTGTGTATTAGACACCACCTCTATGTTTATAGTTAATCATATTTATTCACAGTTACAGCATRTTCTAAATTGGGAAGTTACGGAGGAAAGAAAGCCGAGATTTCAGTCTCTTGTGGCTGCCAGTGCGGGTGTTTGTGTTGCAGCAGTTGTCATAGAAACCCAGGGAGACAATTAGACTGTCCGACTGTTTTTCAAGAAGAATATAGAATTTTGCTTCCTTCCAATATAGGAGACTGTGCAGCCCTGGCAGGAGGGACAGCGCAAGTGAAATAGTGTAAGAATAAATCTAACCAAGTCCAAGCCAGGCCTTGAAACAGCGTGAGTCGTGCGCAGTGTGCTCGGCTGCGTGCGTAACACACCTGTGCTTGTGAGCAGTCGCACAGGCAAGGCAAGGAGTAGGGATTTCTTGTTTCATCAGTTACGTAAGGCTGTCTCTCCTGTGGGGAGCATCTTGTTCAGTGCACTGGCACAGGCAGTACCCGTGCTGTTAAGGAACCGGTCCACAGAACAATTGTTGATATGGAAATCTTGCTGCCTCCAGTTCTGCCCGAGGGACATACAAAGGGTGGTTGCAGAACAGTTAGCAAGAATATTTTTAAATTGATCAGTTTGTAGAAGAAGAAGGAATAGGAAGAGCTGAATATTCTTTCTCAGTGCAGTCCTACTTGCCCCTCTTAAAGATGGGGCAGGAACCTCTCCCAATTGCCATGATATTTCAGAGATATCCAAGGACATCAGCCAGCTCCCTCAACACTCGTGGGTGCATCTTGTCAGGACCCATGGACTTCTCTATCCCCAGTCTGTTTAAGAGTTTTCCATAACCCTGTCCTACTCCACCAAGGGTAAGTCTTCCTTGTTCCAGATTTCCCCTCTGGTCTTAGGGATCCTGGAGGCTGGTCTTATCCATAAAGACTGGGGCAGGAAGGCATTCAGCACCCCTGCATTTTTTGTGTCCTTTATTGCTAGGGCCTCTGCCCCATTGAGAGATGGGCCCACACTTCCCCTACCTTTGYTTGCAGTGCTCATGCCCTTGTAGAAGCCTTTCTTGTTGCCCTTCATGTTCCTTGAAGTTTCAGTTCCAGGAGGGCTTTAGCTCTCTTAACCCCATCCCTGCAAACTTGGACAGTGTCTCAATATATTTCCTGGGYTACCTGTCGCTCTTCCACTTCTTTTATGGTTCATTTTTATGCTCAAGTTTAGATAGGAGCTCATTGTTCATCTCTGCACGTGTCCTGCTGCTTTTGCTTGATTTCCTGCTTGTTGGGACCATTCTTGAGCTCAAAGGTGATCCATGAATATCTTTCATCTCTCCTGGACTCCTCTTCCATGCAGGGCTGTATGCCATGGGATTTTTCYGAGCAGATCCCTAGCAGACCAAAGGCTTTTCTTGAAATCAAGGATTGTGGTCCTGCTTTTTGCCCTACTCCGTCCCTGCAGGATACTGAATTCCACCATCTCGTAGTAGCTGCAGCCAAGGCTATCCCCAATTTTCACATTCCTGGCCAGGTCTTCCGTGTTCAAGAGTTTGAAGACCAGCAGAGCATYTCTCTAGCTTCATCACCTGCGTGAAGAAGTTGCCATCAGTGCCCTCCAAAAACCTTCTGGATTGAGTGTTCTCTGCTGTGTTGTCCCTCCAGCAGAGATACCAAGATGGTTAAACTCCCCCATGAGGACCGTGGCCTTGGAACATGAAGCTTCTTCCAGTTGTCTGAAGAAGACCCTGTCAACTTCTTCCCATTCAGATGGTCTGTAGCAGACACCCCSCTGCAGCATCACCCATGCTGGTCTTCCTCCTAATCCTAGTCCTAATCCTAGTCTTAATCCTAGGCCCTAATCCCACCGTGTCGCTTTGTATTGGTGCTCAGGCACTTCAGAAGCACTCCGACGTGCTGTCTGCTGAGACATGGCATGAGAGACATAATGTGCTYCCATAAGCACGTGTTTACATACATATGTTTGGTTTGATTCCACAGCAGCCC